CATATCTCTGTGTGTAGCATATCTCTGTGTGTAGCATATCTCTGTGTGTAGCATATCTCTGTGTGTAGCATATCTCTGTGTGTAGCATATCTCTGTGTGTAGCATATCTCTGTGTGTAGCATATCTCTGTGTGTAGCATATCTCTGTGTGTAGCATATCTCTGTGTGTAGCATATCTCTGTGTGTAGCATATCTCTGTGTGTAGCATATCTCTGTGTGTAGCATATCTCTGTGTGTAGCATATCTCTGTGTGTAGCATATCTCTGTGTGTAGCATATCTCTGTGTGTAGCATATCTCTGTGTGTAGCATATCTCTGTGTGTAGCATATCTCTGTGTGTAGCATATCTCTGTGTGTAGCATATCTCTGTGTGTAGCATATCTCTGTGTGTAGCATATCTCTGTGTGTAGCATATCTCTGTGTGTAGCATATCTCTGTGTGTAGCATATCTCTGTGTGTAGCATATCTCTGTGTGTAGCATATCTCTGTGTGTAGCATATCTCTGTGTGTAACATATCTCTGTGTGTAACATATCTCTCAGTATTCAAGCACACATTGGGGTCAGCATATCTGCATGGAAGAGGGTATAATTTACGGCTCATATTGAGGGCTGAATAACTCTTTGAGGGAGTGGGGTTAATTCAGGGCACAAATCCATAACAAATTGATTGATGTTTTTCTCTACTAAAAGCAATCACTTCAACAACAGTGTGAATGACATTTTGGTATAATTTTTTGAAAAAAATGTATTCATTCAGGTATAGCACAAATATTTGCAGAGGATTATATATGGTATATTTTTCATGAATTCAGTCTTGAATCACAAATTTATGTCAACCTGCATTCAACTGAAGTGCAACACATCAAAAAAACATTACATGCTCAAAAATTGTGAAAATAGAAATTAAAATTGAACAGTGCATTATTTTTGTTTTGATAACTTTGGACTAAACAGAAATAATTTACTATCAGCTTCAGATCTTGATCAAAAGTTTGGCACCCAAGATAGTTTATTTATGTATTTTATTGGTATGTTTGCAAATGTGTATTAGACCATGTAACAATCCTCTCCATGAGTATTCCCATGGGATTTTAGAGATACAACACCAATGATAAATGATTTACTTCATTGAACACATACAGCATATTCTCTGTGGGGCCAGTAACCTTTGCATGTGTATCACCAGTAATCAGTCAAGTAGAAACAGTCAACATTTGTTATCAGATGTTTTGACTACTGCTTTCTCAATTTTTGCATGATATTTTCACACAGGACATCTGTCATTCACACTAAGGGCAGATTTCATACTGATGAATTAGGTGATCGAGTTTGATACAGTTTGGAATTAGGAAAGTTATAATTGTATACTCATTAACAATTATTAACAACAACAACAACAACAACGACAGACATTTTTCCTTTAATATACTTTTCCCTTTCATATTTGATGATACAGGCAAGGTAAAAAAAGT